TAAAAAGTTTAGTCACATATTTACCTTAAGGAATTAAAACTTGGAGAAATGGCTAACATTAGTTATTGGTTGCGGTTGTAGAGATCAACAAAGTACGTCAGAGTTATATAGCGGCCACTCCTTTCCCTAACCTTGGAGTTGCGAACAGAGGCATGTACCGTTGCACTTAGCTCCGTCTTTCATAAGGTCGATTCTAGCGGCTTTAACGTTTTTCAGTCGTATTTTAGAATTGGCAATAACCTTGCCTACATCCAGGATGAAAGCAGTACAACTTGAAATTCCAAACACTAGGAATTTTAATAGTTGGATCACTATTGACCCAAGGAACCTACAATCTACATATACAAGGTCAAAGAAATTTACATATTAAATGGACATCTATATTTGAATGTGAATATGTGAGCATCCTAGCACAGAACCAAAAAAATCTACAAACCCTATTATTTGGGGTTGAAGCTTTTATTGAACTGTTTTAAAAAGTTCCATTTTAAAAGTCTCTGCGAAGCTTTTTAGGTAGAAAAAACGTTCTACTTTATGGGCCAGTTGTACAATTGGAGTTCGAGCACGGCAAGCTTTGTCTGTTTAATTAGCCACTAAAAGCTCGTAAATACCCATTTGCTCTCCACGTGAAACGTAAGATAACTTGAGCATAAATTCGAGAAAAAAGGCGGTCTTCAAAAATATTGAGTCGTTTGGTGTGAACCACACCTCCCAATTTTCTAAATAAAGAGGTTATATAGCCCAAACGGCTCAATATTTTTGGAGGTCACCTTTTGTTATCTACTTTGTGATAACATTTTCTTACCATCTAAGTGGAAAGAAAATGGGTATTTACGAGTTTTTAGTACCTAATCAAATGGAGAAAGTTTGTTAAACTCCAGATTAAAAACGCCCCGATTCCGGGAATTTTTTAAAATAAAATATTTGTAGGTCACGATGAGATAGAGCTATTTACGAAGTTTCAGCCGGATGTTTATAATTTGATATAAAGAGAATTGAAAGTGAAAATTATAGACGGTATGAAACATCATTTAAAACCATTAATTACCTTATTTTTTTGGCATTGCCGTCTTATGTATTATATTTATTTTGTTTGAAACTAGCTATTTCCTTTTACAACTGTATATTTCAATTATTTATTTGATTTTAATAAATAATGAAGTGCCACAAAATATGTTTAGTAATGTATTGAAAATAAAATTTTTGTAACTATGGATAATTCCACCAGAATCCAATCCATTTCATCCAAATCCAATCCATTTCATCCAAATCCAATCCTTCTCTAGCACTACTCATCCCAACAGTCCTCCTCGATGGTTGAAGCAGCAATGGCCCAGAGACTTGTAAGAATATATTGGAGTTCTGGCAATGACCAGATTCTCCACTCAAGCCATGTATGTCTGGTTACAGTGTCTCTGCTCAGCCTCCTTTGGTAATACCAGTGATGCGGCCTAGTGAAAGGCGCTGGGATAAACTAGAGTCCTTCCTTTTCCTCCACGAGTGTGGGGAAAGACTTGGCACGGAGATCTTGAATGAATATTGTATAAAAGCATGTGTGTATTTAAGTATTTATTTTGTTAGATTAGTTTGTTTTAGTATCTTTTAGTTTATATACATTTACTTTTAGTATTATTATATTGCTGTTTATTTATTGTGCATAGTATGAATGAGCTACTCTTTATCACTATACTATTGTCCTTAAAATGGCTGATTATAATAAATCTCAAAAAAGAATTTAAAAAATTAAAAAATAAATAAATATTTAAGAACTACAAAATATTTTTGTTCGACAAGAGTGCCGCTACATTTATCCATATTTTATTTTAGGTATTTTTTATTTGTTTCCATTGGTATATATAGAGGAAATACCTATAGCTTGGATCACTTTTTTCAATGCTTCTTAACTTATAAAATAACAATGATTTTGAAAAGTTTAAAATAGAATTTTATTTGTCATGCTTTCCAGATACTATGTTAATTTTTAACTTATTTGACCACTAGATTTTAACTATGAAAAGAAATCATTTTAAAAAATAATAAATTACCTACATTATACCTTGGGAAAAATTTGTTGTAATAGGAATTATAATTATTAATAAATGAATGAATAAGTATCACTAAAATCATTGTAAAACTGCATTTAATAATAAATCAGAATACATAAACATAATTATTTGAGCTATTGATTGGCCGAAAAAGGAACAGGGGATGATATTCACCACTACTCTCTTATAATATTGGTGGATGAAAACAAACAATGTCTTCGCTTTGTACTTCACACTGATCTAGTTCTCTTAAATCCACACCAGGGACAACATTGTCTTTGGGATTCTGTCCTGACTACAATGTTTGCAAAACTATTTTGTATTTTCTTCTTTGTTGAAAATTCGATAAATAACTATTTAGTTAGAGTACGTTTTGGTACATCATTCTTAGCAACTGATAATTCTATTTCAACCATCCCAGCATTCCGTCACAATATGGACATTAGTTATACTGTGCAACAATCTAATCTTGCTAAATATTAGGCTTCAGGAAACCTTTCATAATCAATTTAATTTTTTTTAGAAAGATTGACCAATTCAGCTACAAAAACAAAACAAAAAAAAAACTTAACTAAGATTGTTTGTTCAAATTTAACGTAATACAATAAAATGACATAAAATAATATCAAATGTTGAAATTTTATAGGAATACAGTAATAGAAAAATTCAAGCTCTGCTATCACCTTATAACTGTCACCAGGTACAATTGATATAAAACCGAATAATGAAGGTTCTTCTTCATAGCCCTGGAGCCAATGACCAAAAATCGACCTGATTGCAGGTGAAGGTTTGATTGTAAATTACGAATGTGTATGTTATTCTGAGTAAAAAAACCTTGTCTGCCTATCCGGAGACGCTGCTTTCAAAAATGGTGGCTGATTTAAAGAATATTAGGCCAATAATTTGAGGATCGATACGAGAAATCTATTGAAAAAAATGTGAGAAACGTTTTTATTTTTTTAGCGTTTATGTATGGGTTCAGACATGTAAAAAACAAAATTGCTAACGCAGGTCACCAAGGGAAAACTTTTTACAGCCAAAAAAGTCAGATTTTTTCGATATTTTTTTTGGTTTTTCATCTATAACTCCTAAACTATGCATCGAAGCGAAAAATATACTCTGTAATAAATTAAAGAACGTTAAATTTTACGTCAAACGAGTACATAAATTTTAAAATTTGGTTACGCGGTATAAGGTATAAAACCACGGTCAACCAACATTGAGTTTTACTAAATTTGTCAAAAACTGAGACAAATTACTATAATTGGCCCCGTAACTTGGAAATGAGTTCCCTAGGAGGAGAAACCCATAGAATCAAAGTTGTAGAGCATCAAATTTTGCGTGTACTGACATTTGAGTACTACTGACATTTTTATTTTTGGCCAATTATATATCTCGAATCGGGAATCGTTATTCCTTTATAAAATTCGGTATCTTTCGGCACATCGTTTACGAAAATCTTTTGCTGCTGAGAGGTGGAAAAGAGGCTTATACTGCATGTAACAGACTTTAAACAAAATTAACTCAATAGAATAGACACCCATACTGTTGAAATATTGAAAATCACGTTTACCTATATTACCGATTTCTAACAATCGGGAGATTACCGATTTTATTCGCAGCATATGACCTAAATTAAATTAGTTGATACTGAGTATACGCGAAATTTGATGTTCTAAAACTTTGATTATATGTTTTTTTCCTCTTAGGGAACTCATTTCCAAGTTACGGGACCATTTATAGTAATTTGTCTCAGTTTTTGACAAATTTGGTAAAACTCAACGTTGGTTGACCGTGGTTTTATACCTTACTGTGTTACCAAATTATAAAATTTATGTACTCGTTTGACGTAAAATTTAACGTTATTTAATTTATTAAAGAATATATTTTTTCGCTTCGATGCATCGTTTAGAGGTTATAGATGAAAAACCCCTGGATTTTTCGTTTCGATCCTCAAATTATTGGCTTAATATTCTTTAAATCAGCCGCCATTTTTTAAGGCAGCGGCTCCGGAACAGCAGACAAGTTTTTTTTAAATCAGAATAACATACACTTTTGTAATTTACAATCAAACTTTCGCCTGCGATCAGGTCGATTTTTGGGCCCTGGCTCCAGGGCTATCATGACGGTATTGACAGCGACATAGTATGGATAACATTGATTTTGAAAGATGAAAGCTCCCAAAGTACTTAGAGATTAGGTGGACTTTGTTGACAGTTGACTTAAATCAACAGTTGGAGGTCGAACCTATGGAAACAACCGGCAAATGCTCCTACAGATATTATTTCTGGGGTAGTAAATAAATAAATATAATGGTGGGTTTGCAATCGGTAGTCTACCTACCTGGCTGTTTTATAACTGGGATAGTTTTAATAAGGTTAGTTACAACTATCATAAATCGTTCGAACCACTAAAATTGTCTTGACATCTTAAGTATTATATTTAAGTAATGTTTCGGATTAAGTTTCAAGTTTTCTAGATTACGAACTTTTATTAGCGTTTTGGAGATCAGTTTTTAAAATTAAGAAGCATATTTTAAATATGAATTTTGGCAATGCAATCCATTATTCTGATTTATCTTACATAATATATCTTGTATAATACTAGACAGTGGTTTGGATTTGATATATTCTGTGTGTAAAATAAAATGTGAAGTATATAATTTTCTACTGAAATGTATAATTTTATTCAAAAAGCATACACACGTTCACATATACTATTCTTAAATATTAGTTTGTTATTTAAAGTTATATATTTGAACCTTCATATCACTTGTTTGGATTATGACGGTATCCTTAATGCTAGTATTCTTTGAATTAGTTAATAATTAAAAATATATTCCTATTGTTTGACTTATATCGTGTGGTAAGATGATTCATGGTAATAATTTCTGTTTACATGAGTTTTAAATATCAATGTTCTATGTTAGTTATTGACGATTCAAGATAGGAAGGGGTTTAGTTCGAGATTTTATTGTTTTAATCGTCATTAATTTGTTTTAAAACTGTTTATTCATGATATTAACAACTGTATTATAATATAAATACATCAAGTAAATGTGTACACAGGAATATAATCACATGAAAACGCTTGTTGCAAAACTACTCACTGGTATCAGTGATATGAATACATAGCAGATCACGAGGCCATCTCCTTTTCAGTCGCCTTGGAATGTTATCAGGAATCGATGAGGTAGCAAGGTTAGAAACCAGAGGATTCCGATGGTTATGAAGTTTATTATGGAAGGATAAGTATCTGGATTGGGCCAACATATGGAACATTAAAGCCTTTATAGATTATTTTATTTGTGACTAAATAAGGATCTTTGAGGAGTTCGGATTGTAAGGATTGGATACGAGAGGAATTTGATTGTTTAGTGGAGCCCCATAGCCCAACTCCGTAAGTCCGAATAGGTCTTATTATAGTCATGTATATGAGTCTCTCGTAATTAATTGGAAGTTTAGAGCATTTGTCAAGTAAGTATTGGAGTAAGTGGAAACGTCAAGCAGTTTCTTGACGTTTCAGTCTTCTATGAGGATTTCAAGTGAGACGTTTGTCCAGGTAGAACTCTCAAGTTTTCAACAGGAAAAGTGAGGTGTTATTAAAAGATACTTTAGGACAGGAAGTCATACATTCACGCCGACGGATAAAGGTGATTTGATGGGATTTATTGGAATTTGTTTTAATCCTCCAGTTTTGACACAGTTCTTAAAGGTTTGTGATGTGTGAATGAAGATTATGGGTTGCAATAGATGGATCGTTATTAAATGATAGGATATATTTGTCATCGGTACAAAATTTTAATTTAAACCTTAAACATTTTAATTTCAAAAAACATTTTCGAATATAACTTCTGTTCGCATTAAATCAAAACTATAATGAATACATCGTTGATTAGATTCAAAAAGTCACTAAGTACATTTTCGAAGTAGCTGAACTTTTTAGAACACCTTTGTGAATTTCGATCTTAGTCATATAAATCCTATTATATATATATCAGACATAAATACAACAAATGAACAATTTTCACTGAGGGAAATTCGTTAAAATTCTTAGTGATTTAAGGCTGTGAAATGTCATTTAATGACTTTTTACAATAAACCGACGACGTTTTTAATTAGTTATGCTTATTTGCTTTTAGGTTGTTAAACCCAACGCTTAGATAATTAAAATTATGAATTGTTGATAAGATTATTGTATTATATCGTAATGTTGAAAATAATCGTTTATATTATACAATTACAATATAATAATCGACTAGTGCCTTCAATTCTAATTACAAACTCATAATCCTAATTCCGTCTAACTCCAAACTGATATCTAATTCCAATTCATATGCTAATGAATGGATAATTGCATATTGGAGAGTTGTCGATGTTCGCGGAGGGGCATATACTCCTGGAAAGTCCTGTTGTACTTCTTTCAAGTAGCATTTGCCTGGAAAGTAGGAACCATCTTCGAACTCAGGTGCAAAAATAAGTGGAAAGTTCTGATGTACTTCCGTCAAATCCTACTTACCTATAAAGTAGGAACCGCCTTCGAAATCAGGTGCAAATACTCCTGGTGACTTCTGCTGTATTTCCCTCAAGTCGTACTTACCTAGATAGTATGAACTGTCGTCGAAAGCAGATACTGGGACATCTGAAGAATTCACCATAAACAGGGTGACTATCAAGAACTGAAAAACACAAAAGGGCGATAAAAATAGAAACGTTATTAAGATACTAACGTTGATAACATTTAATGATCATTTAACAGTGGATATTTTCCTTATAGTCCTTATCGCTTGGACTATATATGGATTATGGCTCGTCTGTTTTTATCGAAAACTGTTTACTTAATCTTTTTTTTTTATTATTAGAATTAAACCATTACTTTTAATACAAAAGTGAGGGTTTTTAACTTTTGATAATATCTCTCTTTGGAACTGTCTTTTCTAAATTTCATTAAGAAACAGAATTATAGAAAGAAAAAAAAAGGAACTATTCGTTATTATTAATTAGCTATTTTATAATACAATTTGTTAATTTTGTTTATAAACATTTAATGAAGAAAAATCGCTAGGACAAAATACCTATATTAAAATAATTACAATGTCCATAAAACTTTGGTATGGTTAAATATTTACAAACGAGCACATTCTATTTGTCGATTTTTTTTTTTTTACTTTGGTTACAACCAGTAAATTCGAATTGGTGATATGACATATACGACTTGAAGAGACATTTCTCATTTGTATCACTACTATTAATTTCAATTACAGAAATACGTATTATTTATATTTATATAGTGATTTGATTATGAATTATGTGAAAGGATAAATGTGGAAATGAAGAGAATGAAATGAATAAAAAACGAAGAGATGGATTGACCACAGTAAATGAGGTGGTAAGAACAGATGATCAATAGTTTTCTGACGGATGCGGTTCTTAAAGAGAGTATAAAACTCAATATTTTGAGATATTTTATTGATTTATTGAGTTTTTTAATAAGGATTTATTGCGTTTGAAAAGTATGATCAATCTTTTTTAATGGTATATAGTGACTTGAGACATGACAGAGGCTGGAAAATCTGAAAATATATCTTATGAAACAATATATAAGTCTGACTCTAAAAGCAAATTCATCTAAACAATTATAGTCGAGGTATTAAAAACAAAGAAGAAGAAGAAGAAAAATAAATTTTATTTTAGGAACTAAGTCCCCTACACTACAATGTACAATTTAATGATAATTGTCTGGCATTAGACATAATTAGGAATAAATTAAATTACCAAGTTATCTAGATCTGAAATTAAAAATTAAAATAAAGAAAAGGCACTGCTAGATACATGAAATTATAGATCGATGCTGACGTGCAAGTTCGACTGACAAGTCTGAAAAACGTGAACATTATTTTACACATATTGGGACGATTGATTACTGAGGAGATGGATAGATAAATTATGTTTAAATTAGGTCAAGAGTGAGGATTTGCGTATGGAGGTTGGCAGAGAATTCCAAAACCAGGTACCACGTATGAAAAAGGATTTTTTAAAGGATTAAATGATAAAGTTCTATGAGAAAGAATAAACAGGTTTGAGGGCTGGGATCTCGTGTTGAACGAATGGACAGAGGAACAATGAATAAACGAATTGAGAAGCTAAGAGGGTTTTTTGGTTGAAAAGGTTCTAAAAAGGAATACACCTAGGAAGTATTGCCGTCGAAAGACTGGATAGAGCAACTTCAACTCGACATACCAACTGGAGACGTGGGAGCGCCTGGGGATTCCAAGATAAATCCAATGAAATAATTCATGAAGAGTACTTGGACCTGCAGCGCATTTCGAGGAAGGAGGAATCATGGGCTTTTTGCAGTTATTCAATGGCAGCTAAGGATATTCATGTAATTTGGGAAATATGGTTATTCTAGGAGAGATACTGAATCAGTCAGTACAACTGATCGAAGATTTTAAAATCGAGTGCAAATAAGTCGATCGATTTTTTGTGTAAAGTTAGTTTTGTTTATGAGCAGTAATAAGAATATGCTTGGATTGATGTGTTCTTGGTTATTTTTCAATATTAAGATCCGAAACGTTGTTTACTGCCTATGTGTTGATACTACTAATATGTTGTTTTAACTTACTCTCAAGCCTTATTTATAACATTGGAAATGAGTAAAAACTGAACAAGAAACATTAATACAATGTAAGGTTATAATTGGAAAAGCTGCAGCTATATGTCTCTGAAATGGAAGCCATCAGGTAAAGAATGGAATAACCCGTCAAAGTTATGGAAATTCAGGGAACATCACGAGATAATAGAAAAAAAAAACTAAGAAGACACTTCAAGACATCCAACCGCAAACTGAAAGAAAACGGTTTCATGAGATTAATTTCTTCTGGTGCGGGGTTGGATTTTAGTGAGGTGATCCTGAAGATGCCTGAATTGACGAAACGTTTACTGTTTATTTTATTCTTTACCAGCATTCAGAGACATGTAGCTGTGTAGTTGGAGTTCTTCAAACTATCAGCTAACATTATTTATAACCTCAAGCATCTCGGTGGGACAAAAAGATTGGTAAATTAGGAGGACTTTACCATATATATCTTATTGTAAATGGTAAATGAGATCTTAACATATATAAATATAGATTCATATTGGCTAATGATGTAGAGATTCATTATAAATAAACAACTATATTTGGGCGACTTTTCGATTTTAAATTTTAATAATTAATATAATAATAATAATAAATTGTTTTCAAGAATATTAATCTTCATACATAAAAGTGAAGAAAAAGTAGGAATATATATCCATTTTTTTATAAATAATTAAAATTGAAAAAGTGCAAATAAGTTGCAGAAACATATTTATATATTTATTGACTTAACTTAAAGATGTATAATTATTTGTCAAGAAAATTAAATTCAATATTTATGTGGATGAATATACACATTTTTTTCTTCCTGCCTTACTTTTATGAAATCCAATTATTTTTTTGTACACTAAAGAGGAATAATCAAATAATTGTATGTTATTATATATTACTTACCAGATCTGGGGGCTTGGCCATATTATTAAGATATTCCTAATAGTTTTAGTAGAACCTTAGATGCTTCAAATACTGACCAGAAATATTTCTCTGCCCCTCCACATTTGGTGTTTTCACGATTTCCCCCCATTAGTTGATGCTCCTATCATTAGCACTTGGTTGTATAAATATTTATCTTAATGTCTCATAAATAGGGATATTTTTCATTTGGGGAAAAAAATGTATATACAAATCAAATTGTGTTACTAAATGAAAGATAACAGAATTTTATTATATATTATTGGATTGAGGAGCATTAAATCACTCTTCATGAAGTTTCTTGAACCAATGTATTATTTGATTGAAATTTATTGGAATATATTTAAAAATATTATTATTTAAGTCATAATGTGCTAATAGCATTCCTTTCATATATTTTTATATCAATTTATATCGCATATAATAATAATATAGCTGTTTCAAAATTATTTTAATGACAAAAGCCTCTGACGGAGGGTGTTCAATGAAGTTCAGCTTTATAAATATAATTATTCAAGTGAAAATATTCAATCTACAAATAAAACAATGTAATAAAATATAAAATGAAACACAACATATATTGAAACACATACAACATATTCTTTTTGAAATAATATATCTTTTGTTAAATAAAAATTAATAACGTTTATATATTATTTCTCAAAGATTTTTATTTTTTTCGCTACACCTTATCTTCGTATATTCTTAATCAAATGTCTTATTCTTGATTAAACTCCCATTTTGAATATTTTCTCCTTTAGGTAAGAAAAATATTCACATCTCTCCGATCTTTCAGGAAAAAAGAGTTATGAAGGAAAAGAAAATTTATTTGCGAATATGTAAAAAACTATTCATTTTTTGGTGTACCCATGATTATTTGAAAGATTAATAAATTCTCTACAAATAATAAAAAAGAAATACAGGTTATTTTAATTCCTAAACGTTTTGATTTAAAACATAAATGAAGTTTTCTAATATTTTATTTTCTTTGATAAATTAATATTACCGAAAAAAATAATAAATGATTCCTTCATCTTATGATGCGTTGAATTATTTAATTTTCTTATTATTGTATCATTTTTTCACTGACCAATATTCTTTGCGAATTATTTGCTTCGGCCAAATGCTTCTTTAATACGAACAAGATCTTTCGAAAGTTAGATATGATTATTTTTATAGATTTTTAAAATTTCAAACAGCATTTTCTGTCCCTGTCCATTTTCATATAGTTCGTTTCTTCTCTGTGGGCAATTTCATCTCTTCACCTGGTGTAAGGTATTCATCTGTTTCTCACGTGGTTTACGTTCTTATGTTATTCCAGTGCAAAAAAATTTACTTTTATATGAAAAAATGTTTACATTACATGTACAATTGTTGTATTTTATTTAGTTCATCATTGAATAAACAAGTATAAACGTTATCTATTAAGGAAAATTCCAGTGCAGTATTTGTCTTTGCTGATATTAATGCATAATTGAGAGATCAAATAATTATTTAATCGATAATCTTAATTGAAGGTATATATAGAATGAGAGTAGGTGATAATAAAAGAACAAGAAAAAAAGAAGAGAAACAATTCTAAAATACCAACACTTTCCAATATTAATGTATCAAATAAGGGTAATAAATTCTGATGGCAAATAAGTATCGTTGGGTTCTTAAATAATACTTAATAAATACTGGTGGTAAATGATAGTAGAAATTTTAGATCAGAGGATTAAAATTTCTCCATTTATTGTAAAATAAGCTTTCCTTCCCTGCATTCGGGGATGAAACAAAATCTATTTCAAGATTAGCATTGTCAAGAAACTAAAAATTTAATCAGATAAATGCATTGTTTGTCAATGATCAAAACATTTGTTGTTGTCTTTTGAATATTTCTTCACTTTATAGACGAAAACTTCGATTTGTTACGCCAATCACAATTGGTTGTACTAAGTATTGTAACTCATACCTTATTGGAATGAAATAAAACATATAGAATAAGTTTTTGTGTGCATATGATGTTATTGGAAAATATTTTTTAGTAGGGAATAATTTTAATTGTCCATCTAAAAAATAAAAGAGAACTTCAAAATTATTTCTCATTATTCAAGCTTTTCTTTTAATTTTAAAATTTATTCTTTATATGTATAACTTCTAATAAATTAAACGAACGATTCAAATTACTGAATCCATATACATTTTTGGCTTTCCCAAAATATTTAAATTTAGTAAACTACATATGTGTGTGTGGAAAGTAAAAATTGTAAGGCTATCTGTATGGGTCCGTGCGGCTTCGCAGCTGTTACCGCCAGCTGGTCCCCTCAACACTCGTTTTATTTTAATACAAAAAAAAAAAAAAAAAAAAAAAGAGGAAAAGAATAAATAAAGAACAAAAAGAAAACAATGTTTTGAAATGTTTGATAAGGACTAGTTTCATGACAACATTTATCATATACGAAATACATATATAAGAAATAACTTAAAAATAGCATTATATAATATTTTAAAAGTTTTTTTTTTTGCTTTATTGTGTGTTATATTTGCTTTTTGGTCTTGCATCCTGTTTGTCAGAATATCCTCATGATTCCGCAAATGTGACGATCTTTGACCACATGATGTAGGTTTCGCTAGCTTCCATGTGTAATTTTGAATTTCTAAAAGTACCGGAAAACCGGAGTTTATTAGATAGATTTAATGATGAGTTTATAATATTAATATCTTCATATCACTTAAGAATGATATCATTTGCTCTATACATCTAATTGAATGCAATAAAGAATACAAAATAAAATAGATTTTTTGTATTTTTCATTTTAAGAAGTAAAATATAAAATAGATTGTTAGTAGCTGTATTTTAATAGATATTACAACACAAAAAAATGTATTTTAAATACACAAAATAAGTGTCCAAATAGAGCAGGTTTCCTGTATTATTTGATAATAGTCCACCAGAATGCATTTTGTATTTGCATTTTTTTTTTTGTAACTAAAATAAGAATAAATACTTTTCAATTCAAATGTACTGTATTTTAAAACGCGAATAATGGAATTTTAAGCACTATATTTTAACATTTAAAATAAATTTTTCCCAGATTTAGTAGAATGATTGTATTCTGCGCTAGGTCCATACATCTTTTACTAATAAGTAACACAAACATTAAAGGACGTATAATGCAGTTGGGATCACTGGACTGGTGATTGATGGAATATTTTTTCTTTATCATTCAAGGGAACTCAAGCAACCATTTTTCGTGTCGAATTTAAGTTGTCCTACTTCTCCCTCTGCAGACAATTTTCGTCTGAACGAAAGGTCCTTAGAAATTTAGGACAGACATACAATTTACAACTGGTTTTCAAATACATATTTGACCAGGGCGAATTGATAAATGCTCGGAAGATCTTAAAAAATACATAATTTAGCATATTTTTAATATGTTGGGGTATTTTTTTCCATTACATTTCGGCATAAATGGGCTTGTGCAATGGTTAGGGTTACGTGAGAATCACTACAATGTTAATATTTTTGAGGAGCGGGGCGATCGAGCTAGCTAACACGTGTGCACAGTACTGCGGGTTGCCCGGCAACCTGATTACCAAAGTTAAACATGAAAAAATAATCACGGGTTCAAATACCAGTGGCCGATGGGACTTTTAACTTGGCATAAGTCCTCCGGCTCGGATAAAAAAAAAAACCGTGTAGCCTAAAAGACAAGGAAGGAGAGAACAAAAAAACGATTTATTTGGTGTGCCGACTGGTAAACGTCCGAGGTGTAGACCGAAGCCAAGGTGAGAAGATTGTGTTGAGACTGGATTTGGACGGCAACCGATTCGAGGGAGGTATGTAGACATTGGTGGTGTCGGCATCGAACCTTCCGTTTCTCTAAGCCTTTGATCATTATATATTTTTTTTTAAACTATATTTAATTTTTTATGAATGCTATACGACTCTTTTTCCAGGTGATGAAAAACTACAATCTGTTTTTTTTTTATACCAAATTTCGTTTTATTTTTCATAGCAGCCTTATAATTATATTTATGGTTTATTGTAATCACATAAAAATTAAACTAAATCATCTTGTCTAAGATAGTATTATAGGGTTGGTATTTAAGGTATAACTTGAAATAACGTAGACAGATAAAGTATTTTTGAACTGTTTATTATAAAAGATCTATTATTGGTAACTTTAATAAATATTCGTTATTGAAAAAAAAAAAAATTATGAACGTCTTATCAACCCAAGTGGGCGTAAGCTTGAGCATATGGGTAAGCCCAGATTCCTCCACGAACTGAAGGAAGTGCTGCATGGAATTCCCTGAGGTCGTACTTGCCGCGCCAGTATGATCCATCGTCTCCTCCAACGACGTAGGGAGTGATGAGAGTCGCAGAGGCTACTGCCAAGCAAGCGGCGAGGAAGATCTGCAAATGAAGAAGGTTTATGAAAAGATGAAGAATACAAAAATAAATAAATAAAGTAGAAATGAAGGATTAATTTGAATTTCAAAATTGTAAATTACCTAAACATTCTTTCAACATAAAATAAGTTTTATAAGCTATGGGACCAATTATAATATAAAATATATATTTATAATACAAATGAATATAAAATTTAATATTAAAATTGAACTACCACACAAATGAAAAAAAACAATTATTTTTATAAGTTATAAAGTATAAGAAAAGTGTTACATTATGGCAAATTAAAACGAATGGATACATTTTGAATACATAAATGGATGTTGATATTAAACCAGTATCAGAGGTAGTTCAACTAGAAGTCTGCAGTAATACATATTGATATTAACTTTAGTTCTCTAGGTTTCCACTTATATTTAAATAACTCATTTAATAACAAACCATAACTCGTTTCCATATTTGTTTTAGTTATAAAGTTTCCAAGATTGGGATATGGTTTGAAAAAAAATATTGAAAAGAGGATTAGCGACGACATAAGTCTTATATTCCTTCTTCTTCGTAGATTTACTGTAAAAAATATTATTAACTAGATAAAATGGAAGAAGAGGTTTCAACAAAAGTTCGGCTGTAGATTATTTAATGAATAAACAAACTATAAATAAATAAAAATAGAGACAAATTTTATTTATTTTGTAAATATAACTTCAAAAAATTCAAGAACCTGTGATATTATAACACATTGATATTAGAATAGTAGTTTTTTTTTTCTCTAACTTTTTACCTTTTCTTAGCTTTTTAGCCTACACGGAGTTTTCTCGGGCCGAGGGGTGAGGGCGAAGAATTTAAAATTCCCTCCGGCACTGGGAGGTTAACTCGTACTATTTAGGTATCTGGTTGCCGGACAACCTGGGGGCGGGGTGGCCGAATGGGCTAAAGCGTGTGCACAGCACCGCTAGTTGCCTGGCAGCCGGATAACAGAGATTTGAGATGATTTAAAATGTAAAATTTAAAATTCGCGTCCCGGTGCCGGAGGGGATTTTAAATTACCCGCTCTCACCCCTCGGCCCAGGAAAATCCCGTATAGCATAAAAGGCGAGGTAGGGAAGAACAGATAAAAAAAAAAATAATAAGTTTGCCGGACAACCTAGCAACCGGGCAAACAAGACCCAAGAGGATCTTTCACGACATTGAATTAAAAACAAAATAAAGAGTCTTATTGGCAGTAATAGCCGTACGTATTCCCACTGGTGAAACCCCGTATGGATAAAAAAAAGAGTTGCGGGCACATGCATTAGTCCATCCGGCCACCTCACCTCAGTCCGCAGTTGTAATCAATAGGTTTTTTTCTTCTTTTTTTTTTAACTATTTCCATTATAATTTATAAAAGCGGTTCAGACCATTCCCCTTCCCCAAGATATTTTGTCGCTCATCTCTCAAAAACAATGCAAATTACGATATATATATATATATATATATATATATATATATATATATATATATATATATATATATTACACTTGCAGCGATCTGTTCTTCGTTTTTGTTCCTCCCGATACATAAAATTCTTCATTCCGAAAATTCACACTCCCCTCGAAATGACCCTTCCCCTCTCAAAAATTAGAAACACCGATTTATTGATTTTGATTCTGCAAACAAACTAAAAATTGAAGCGTTTATAATTCTAGAGTGCTACAGTTAAAAAATATATATATATTTTAATAAAGCTTCATTGTAAATGAGAGTATGAATGAACTAATCTATCACTATCTCTAAGGTCCTTGAATGTGGCAGAATGTAATAATACTCAATAAAGAAAATTGTTAAAAAAAACAATATTGATCCAGAAAGTTATAATTAATTGATATTAATATTAAAAAATAATTTTAAAAAGTATGAATAATATTTTTATATATTACACTTACAAGAGCCTTGAAGGTCATTTCTAGTGTAGTCTACTTCTTGTGAACTGACTGTTAGCTGTGCAAGTACGTAGGGTCCTTTTATATTGCTATACCGGGACCACACCCTCGGCTAGGAGACTTGCGATTGGTCCATTATTATTGCAGGAAGGGAAATGTGTGGTCTCATGTGTACGTACACACGCTAACGATCTAATCGGTAAAAAAACAAAATATAGCATTGACCTCTAAAATAAATATTGAAATAACGACTTGTGTTGATTCGAATTATAGTTATCTATACTTTTTTAAGACTACATATTAATATTTTAAATATGTAGCTCTAATATTTTATTAGATCCGATATTAATTAAGAAGCCGTTGATCACTTACCCAACCTAAGTTTGCTAGTGGGCCTCAGCTTGCTTGAAAAAAATACAATCAATAATTAAAAAGTGGAATCAATGAGTAGAGAAGCTTCGATTTAGATTTTACCTACAAATCTTCAATACTTCATTCATGGATTTCCGATGCTCATCTAAGTTATCAGCACTGAGTTTTATAAGTTGCTCATTGTTAAATTTATGAGTTAATGATTGACCTCATGGATTTCCTATAGATCTGGACTTAAAACATTTTTAAATTCACATTTTCACTGTAGGAAATACAGACTTGTTAGATCTTAGGCCGCCAGCTTTAGAGTTTGATGGATGACGTTCTGCAGAATCTTTGTTAATTCCATCTATCCGTCTTTTTTTCGGCCAAAAGGCCTCTTCCCAACTATTGTGGCCCTCAAGGACTTTCTGGTGGATTGCTTCGAGCTATCTTAATCTTTTTTCCTACATATCATAAAATATAAACTAAGAATTCTTTATTGGCCACTCTCCTCCATGTCTTAGTACTTTGATGCCAAACCACTCCCGTTCTCTTGTGGAGGATGTTGCTCACAATTTTTTTAATTTTTCACTCAGGGGTGCTGGTCTGAGTCCAGGTCTCGCAGTCGTATATCACATACTTCTGGTTTAGAATGTGAAAAAAAAATCTGTGAAGAAGGCAAAGACCATTAATTTAGTATTTATTAGAGAAGAAATTTAGGAACAAAAATTGAAAAGAGAGCTATATTAAATGATAGAATAACAGAAGTGAATAAGAAGAAAGGCAATCAAAATAAGTGGAGAACGCCCAAGTCAGTTAAAAATAAATAAAGAGAAAAAAATTAAACCTCTGGGATGACTACACCTTAAGTATCCTATAAAGGAATGAAAATAAAAATAAGGAATATAGGTGAAGATTATAATAAAGAAGAATTGGACCTAATTTCAATTCAGGCTGAAACGTCAGTAAACATTACATGAGTATTATAGCTACTTATTTGGATTAGTGGTCATACCCCAGTTGTATTCCCGTACATATATTCTTTTTTTTTCTAGCTTGTTTATTGAAAATATTACAATCCGTATCTAAGGACATTTATAATAGTGTTCACAGAGAGATCACATTCACACTTTATGTACAATATAAAAAAATAAATTATACAGAAAAATAATATGTATACAATAAATAAGTATAAAATAATCTAAAAATAAAAAAATATAAAATAACACATACATACCTATATACACTATTTACAATCAGGCGAGGGAATTCCGAGCCAGACTTGTCTCTCCAACTGTGGAGGGAAAAACATGACTCTAGGAGATCCATACACTTCTCTCTCAACCGCTTCGCTGGTGCTAAACCCATTGGATATTGAGGGAGAGTGATTTAGCCACATACAGTGGGCCATTGGCAGAACTCCAATCTTTACAAACTATAAAAGGTTGCCATGCAACCGTCGTTTTAACCTTCTTGGAGGATTATAGGGATAGGTGGTGTTGGATAGGTATTCGGATGAAAGGTAAGGTTCTGGCTAAATTTGGAGACTTTTTCTGGAATAAGGTCTAGGACAAATGGGATATTAAGGTCATGCTGTAGGGGGTTTGTCGGTTATATAGAAAGGAGCATCGACTTTTGTTCGAAGGACTTTGGACTTGATGTTAGAAAATTTTGCTGTTCCCCACAGTTCTAGTCCGTAAACCCAAGTAGCATATATCTTCTAAAGTGAACGATGTCTTTAGTAGAATTCCTATACTCCTTATATCAAAGTTGTTTGGACAGCCAGGTTAGTGTTTTTTTTTTAATAAATTAAAATATGCATGGGATATTTATCACCTATGATATTCAAGTTATGTGATTGGATCCTGGGTTTTGGGGACCTCTTTATATCTCACAACTATGACAAACTCTTTCGAATGTACTAAACAATAAAGTGCTCGGTTAAGGAAATAGCTGTTGATCACGATCAGAGCCAGGTATGCGTGAAAGAGTTCAATTACTTACTTGTCTTTCCTGATCTTTACCTGCACACTTCCTAATCTCTCACCAGATTTTCTCCCATCTCGCTACTCCCGGTGTTGATAAGTTTTCTTCAACGACCTACCAACGAGACAGTCCTCTGCCTCTTCTTTTGCCGAAAACCAGACCATGTAGCAACCTGTTCGGCATCCGTAATCATTCATTAAGCCACGCTTCAATACAATGTTTTATTAATGTATTAAGTAGAGCTAGTTGTTTCCCGAATTTCGCCTGCATTTTTGTTTATCTTATTAACATTGTGTTTTTATTATTTAGTTCTATCCTAAGAAAAATACGACTATTCATTCATACTTTCAAATTTATATCATCCAAAAGTTATGGGATCATTATTTTGGCGTGGCCGGGTACTCAAATATTTAGGCATGTTCTCAAATCAGAAAATCCACTTTCAGGCTTTCATTAATTAGCATAGTGAAAGAATTCTTGAAAGTTAACTTTAACATTAAGTAAAGTTGTTGAACCTTCGTTCAACCAGTAACTGGTGGGTCAGATCATTTTTTATTAGGGCTACCGTCCCTTAGCCTTTATTTATAGCTAGAAACCCAGGCCATCTTTATTTTATTTCTGTGTTTCTTGTAGCCTTAGCAATCCTCTCTTATAACGTACCTAGTATCACGTAAATAGTGGGTCGTTTAATTTTTACATTCGCTGAGAAGTTTGAGACTGTTGTTTATTTTGTTCGTGTAACATGTATGTATGGATAATGATAACGCTTGCAGCGTTAATTTGTTTTGTTTATAATTCTAATTAGCACCATTAGCGCCTACTGTTTATAAATATGATCAATCAATTTTGTTGATTATAAGTATTTAAGGGTTGTTTCTATATCACTTATTTTTTACATCCGAAAGGGTGTTGGACTGTGAAAAGTTCATTTTCACAGGTTTGGTACGTCCAATTCTCAGTCTGCTAATGGAGCATTGGTTGGATGTGAGTTTTTTCGGAGGTATCCCAGCAATATTGTGCTCGTTGTAGAGCCGGAGGTGGTTGAATAGTAATTTCACGAGAGAGAGCTTAACCATTAATCTTATTACATTAGTTTGGAATGAGCGCTATTTGTTTGATGAAAATATTTTTCTTCTTGCGGAATTTCTCTTATTCTAATAAGATCGTAGTTTCAATTTTGTTACGTTGTGTTGTTTTATGTAATAGTTCTGGATCAATGATGTGAGCCACTATATTTGGCGATCAATTTTGTCAGCTGTGATTAGATGTGACTGGACTGACCGACGTCCATGGTCTGAAACTGTCCATTATTTGGTGTCTATATGCCCTATATATAAACCTCATCATTGTTCATGTAAATTTAACTTAGCTAAGAAGCTACGACAAAATGTTTTCATAGTTCTGTTTGAAAGATTTTTTTCTGTTTACTTTACAAATGTTGTAGATCTTTTTACGCCTCAAGCAGACTATTTTTACCTATCTTTGGTTATTGCTTTCTGGTTTCTGCGTGCATATCTATTGCATCTAAGTTGATTCGATATATTTACATGGTTTGTGGCCTTCCCAGCGGTTTCTTCCCTACTATTGAACCATTTCATTGTGGGGTAGAGGCTTTCTGATGGAGTACTCAGAGTACATGCCTCGCCCATTAAGTTTATATAACGTGTTCCATATACAGAATAAAACAAATACGCTGTGGTCTGCACAAATAAGAAAAATAAAAATAAAAATAAATGAACCTTTGTTACAAAATCTTTGCTGACCAGGTTGTATTCACTTATTGTTAGTTTTTTTTTTTTAAATTACATATTATGCTACGGTTTTCATTAGCATTTAGCAACTCTCATATTCCATCCCTCTGTATTACGTTGCATATTGCTAAACACAATTCCCTATTTGAAACCTAACACCATTTTTCTTCCTGTTCTCAAGGCTTGAAGAAATATATCATTTTACGAAACGCATGTAATTTTTAACATCATTATTTTGAATTTAATTGCATCATAGGAATATGACCAAGAATATTTTGATAAAAAAGAATAAATGAATATCTCGAAGAAGACAAAAATGGCGGTCTATAAATCAACGTCCCCGACTATTGTTTCTCACTCTTCCGAATAGTGGACCCTCACCTCGAACACGAGTCCAGTTCATGGAGATACGCTATCTACGTAAAGTTGAACGAAAGGTTCGTAGAGATAGAATAAGGAACTGCACCATACGTACTGGCCTCGAGGTCAAGCTGGCCGAACTCATCTTAGAGGAGCATAAGCTAAGGTGATTCATACACTTCCTTAGGATGGATCAGGAGAGAACTAGCAGGAAGACATACGAGACTCGTGTGGAGAGAAGGAGACCAAGAGGGAGATCGTGCATATCCTGGAAGAAGAGTGTTAGAGAGGCGTTCAGACGGCGAGGTATGGATTAGAATAGGAGAAGAAAAGAGCTAGACACATAGTCCAGCCTCTACGAACTGTAACTCCACAATACGCAGCGGTACATGGCAGATAACGATTATGATGATGAATATCTTGACTCAAATTTAATTTTACTCTGTTATACAAACTTGTAGTTACTTGGTTAATATATTTTCATCGGTTTATATCATCGGTTAAAAGTAGTGCTTGTGATTTATTTATATAATACGTATATGAGTCGTAAAGCTTTAAGTACCAGCAGTTAACTCTAGATTTCTTTCTTCTTTGTAATCCCAAAAGTAGTTAATACAAGGATTATTACTTTTATCAAACTACTTTCAATAACTATTACAAATACATAGATGAATTATTACTATATATACTGATTGAAGGGATTGATAATAGAACAAACTTGTTATATGCTAGTAATGCTTTATTGCTGTTGATCTACGGCTTGAAATTAGCTGGATATGTATGTATTAGGTACGTGGATGTCTGTAAATTATGGATCACAGATTGACTTCTAAAGTTGATGTTGATTGTTGTTGATGATGACAATTTATGCCCAGTAGGCGTGGCCGTATGGGTAGCCCCATGCTCCACGGACGGAGGGGAGAGCTGGGTGAAGTTCCCTCAGGTCGTACTTGCCTGGCCAGTAGGAACCGTCGTCTCCGGCGGCGATGGTGTAGGGGGCGATGATTGCGGCGGAAGCCACGGCCAAGCAGGCGGCGAGGAAGAACTGCAAAAGAAAGATGATCCTGGTCACAATACTTGCTTAAAGTATATTGCAAAGGAATCGTTCAAGAAGGCATATCGTTCAGTGAACATAATGAAAGTAATTAGGCAAACTAAGGTCATATAAAAAGTACGATTAAGTATTAAGCCAAAGACCCTTAGGGGTAGAGGCTAAATAAACAAATAAAAAAAAAAATAAAAAAAGTACGAGAAAATGCAATCAAAGAATGAAAAAAGTAATAGCTAGTATATCCTAGAGAGAGCCTTTACTTTTGACAGCGAATATCTTTATTCCTATATAAAATTTTATGAATGTTAGTTCCATCAGTGGAAAAATAAAGAAATTAGCAGTTTGCCATAGTTCTAACAACTGACAACTTTTAAAATTAATTGCTTTTAGATGGTTCTAACTGCAATACACTACGTTGTACTAGATTTATAGTTATTTTAAAAAGTAAGAGTTAAACATGAAAATATGTAATTAATATTATTATTAAAGACGTGTTATACTGTATAGCATAATTGTATCGCTCAATTCACAAACGATATTTGTGATATTTTCATAATTTTTAGAGAAACCGAGAAAATTATATTGTACTAAAATTATAGAAGGTAACACAATACAATACAATGAGAAAATTGTAATGCCTTGTGTCGAAAAACCAGACCGAATTAGTGTTTTTAAAATTAATCCCAAGACACAGAAGAAATAAACTGAAGTATCTGATCTCAAGAAGCAAGATGTAAAATATGTTTCCTTTTATGTCTCTGGATAATAGAGTGATCCTGTATTTATACATCTATTTCTACCTATCAGTTTGATAATTTTTTTAAACTTAATAATCGTTCTACAAATTAATGTGATATTTTCAGTAATTGATAATATTTCTATATTAAAGAAAGACAGTATGAAAACCGATTTTGTCACTCCTCTTCCCCGCCACAAAAAAAACACACACAAAAATTAAAAAGATTGATTGAATTTGAAAACGTTCAATCCGTACTTACAATTTTGTCTAAATATTAAAATGCATTTATTTTTTTTACGAAAAAATGTGATAAGAATCCTCAGGTAACCCTAGTAACTAAGAATACTTTTAAGAATTTTCAGTATCGATATAATTTAAACACAACATAGTTTTGAACCCTTCAAATTTTTTTAGTAGTATTAGTTAGGTATTACGTTTTCGTAATAATTCGGAATATTACGTTTCGCCACTCTTATAAAACCCCTTTCGTTTGATTCTTTCATCAGAATCCATCGCACCTGAGAATCGAAAAAGAGATCTGCACTTCCGCATTGTTCACAGTGTAATTGATAAAATACATAGAATGAACCAAAATGTTTTGGTTTTCCAGTAATGTGTTCAATATTTACATTTTTAATATTTTCGAATTTTGTTTTATTTTAAAAATTATTACAAACATAGAAACATAAATATAGTTGAAAAATTAAGAACTATACGTTAAATAAATTTCAAAATAAAATATTTTATTGTAAACTTACAAGAGCCTTGAGTGCCATTGCTATGTTAGTCTGAGTCTTACGAGCTGACTATACTCGATAGGGACACCTTGAGACATTATATACCCCCGTGCAGCGACCACACCCTGGTCCGGACGAAATCTGATTGGCCGAAACTGTTTTAAGAAGGTCGGGAGAGGATGAAAACGCGCGTTGCCGACTAGTACTTGTTAGCATAATTATATCGTCCAAATAATAGAAGACTTCTGAGCCAATAATTAGTACTGATTCTGATTGATACCGCCTTGCCGTCGCTATCATATTCCATTTACAAGATTCATCATATTCGATTCTGGCTTAGGATTCTTCTCTGGATTCGTTAAAGTCGCTTACTATACAAGATGTATAAGGATCATTCGATTAGAAGAGGTGCTTCCGCATCTCATTTGTCACAAATCTTCATGCAGGGTGATTCAGTTCTTAGAATAGAATAGAATAGAAAATGATTTTATTGTGGGACGAAGTCCCTTCAGAATAACAAAAAAGTACAGAAATTAAAATTTTACGTCTTGCCAGATTAAAACAAACATAAAAAGTAAAGATAAAGATAAATGAGTAAAAAAAAAAAAAAAAAATAGTAGTTATACATAATATATACAAAATAAAATAAAATAATCTATATACAAAACTCTCGAAACCATACTAAGATACTTAAAACTATGTACAATGGTAAAATATAAATAAACCCTTTTAGAAAAAAAAAAATGTAAATTATTTTTAACAGTAAAATCGGTTTTTTTTTAAATCTGTGTTTCTGTTGAAAAAATAAAAATAAAAAAATATGTAATTTTACATAAAAGATTATCTGGTATCTGACTGTTTTTGGAACAGGAATTGGAATAGGAGGGTTTTGAATGTAGATAGGGATAAAGAATGTCGGATTTTGATAGGAAGGGAATTCCAAAAATTAACAGAGCGAGCAATAAAGGAGTTTTGGAACGAGGCAGATCTGTGAGAAGGAATGTAAAGGTCGGAAGGTCGAGATCTTGTGGAGAAGATTGTAGGCATAGGAAGGACAATGATTGTTGATGATATGATAGAGGAATGTACCGAGGAAATATTGTCTTCGAATGGAGGGGAAGAGTAACTCTAACTCAGTGTAGTGGTGAGAGACATGGTAGTATCTCGGGGCACCAATTACAAATCTCACGCAACTGTTCATTAATCTTTTCAGTCTGTCGTGGAGCTCCACCGAGAGTCCATCATACACCACACAGCTGTAGTCAAAATGGGGGAAGATGAGAGAGGAAACGAGGAGTCTACGCGTATGTTGAGGTAGGAGATGGAGGAAGCGATGGAATAGTTTGAGGGTAGAAATTGTCCGTCGGGAGATGTGAGAAATATGGTGATTCCAGAAGAGGGTTTGATCAATAAATAGTCCTAAATTTTTTACAGAGGGGTAGAAGGATATTGGCTGTTCACCAAGGTTTAGTATGGGAAAGTCGGTATAGGATCTAAGGAGGGGCTTGGAACCAATGACAATGGCCTGAGTTTTTGAAGCATTTAACCTTAATCCTTTTAAGTTTGCCCAGGCACAAATTCGATCTAGGTCTGCTTGGATCTTAGTAAATGCCACCAATAGCTCAGGAGGAGAAAAGGATAGGTATATTTGAGAATCGTCTGCATAAAGGTGGTGGGAACAATGGATAATTGAGTCATGGAGGTCATTAATATAGGAATTAAAAAGGGGAGGAGATATGCTAGATCCTTGGGCAACTCCAGAGGATAAAGGCAGGTAGGCAGATAGTGGTTGATAAGGAATGGAGACTGCTTTGGTGCGCTGTGAGAGAAAATATTGGAACCAAGAGATGGAGCTATTGGAGAAGGAAAGTGATTTTAGTATGTTGAAAAGGATGAGATGGTTAATGGAGTCGAAGGCTTTTGAGAATTCAAGAAGTATAAGGACCGTTAATTGTTTATTATCTATTACAGTCTGAACATCATTGTTAATTTTGATTAAGGCGGATTGTGTGGAGTAGCCGGAACGGAAACCAGATTGGAGAGGATCAAGTTGGTTGGACTTTTCGAGGAAATTGGAAACTTGGGATTGCACCAATCTTTCTAAGGGTTTTGAGAGATTGGAAAGAATTGAGATTGGGTGAAAGTCTTCGGGAGAGGATGGATTAGGCATTTTATTTAAAGGGAGTACAATAGCTTTTTTCCAAGAGGAAGGGAATATTGAGTTCTGTAGGGAGAAATTGTAGATGAAAAGGAGAACTGGGAGGATTTCGGGGAGACATAATTTTATCAATTTGACAGGAATGCCATCTGGTCCTATGGAATTGGTGTGGGATTTCAGTTCTTAATGGTCAAACTCGAGGACGGGATTCTAGACAAAATTTCCAAAAAAAAAGGTCATTTGATGCGTGGTCCAATTTTGTTTTTTTTAAGTGGGAACATTTTCTCTTTCAAAGGAAAATATAGCTCAAAACTAACTTAATAAAACGAACTAACTTATTGCCGATTCATGGCAAACTAGACAAAATTTCTTTCAAATACAAGTGGAATTGTTCTTTGCCAAAACCATTTAAAGGAGACTTTTGCGTCGCTAAACTACGCTAAGTATTTTTTTTCTCATTAAATCATGGGTTATTGGCGATTTTTTTTTATCTTACTAAAACTGGACTACAGATACTCCACTTTTATTTTATTTTATTTTTTTTAATAAGATTTAAATGCATTTCAATTTAGTTTAGGTTCGCTATGGAAGAGAGTTGAGATTCACCTCTAGTTGTCTGAAAAATCATGTGATTTCATATTCTTTCACCGCCTTTTGTTGTTCTAATACCTTTACATTACTCAAAAATAACAACCTATAAATTATTACAAAGTTGCAATGCTTTTTTTTCCTCTAAAATGATATCTATTGTATTAAATTATTTATGAAAATACACTTTTTATTTATTAAAAAAAAATATTGGAACTTGAAAAATCATCTAGAGAGTTGTAATGTGGTAACAAACCAGAAAAATCATCTAATGTGGTAACAAACCAGTTTTTTAATTTTTAAAATTGTAAGAAAATAATTCATGATTTAAAGAAAAACGCGACTAGCGTTTTTTAGCCACATGAAAGTCTGCTTTTACTATGCTGGAAATTTTTACTTGTTTACTATACAACAATTATTAATTACCTAAATTAAAAAGCTTTTCTCGCATCGATTACTAAGAAAGAGAAAACGTGACCACTTTAAGGAAACACAAAATCGGACTTGACTCCTTTTCGGTTTGAAATCGGATCATGCATCAAATGAAATTTTTTGTTGTATATTGTATTGTAGAATCTCCTCTAGTATTTTTTACATTAAGAACTGAATCACTCTGTATAAACTATTGTCCGGCACACAAAACAATAGGAGATTTAAGTTGTGTGTTTATTCATTGGGATGACTAATGTTTTGTTGAATAACGAGACGATATTAAAAAATATTTACTTAAGGTTATTAATATTCGGAGCATTATGAACTAGAAAAAATATATATCTATCTGAATTAAAAACATCACCTTAAAAGGCTTGAACCCCACATTTGTTTGTAGGGAGTTTTAAAAACGTTGACTTGAAAATATAGGGAATAAAATATTCAAACAACCTTTTGAAGAATGACAGGTCATAGGCCCACCACTACCCTAAAAAAAAATTAGAGTGGATTGATGCACAGTGCTCCTTGGCCGTTACACCAATGATGTTCATCGAAAGATTTTGTTTAGCGATAAGAAAATGTTTACAATTAAAGAAAAATGTAATCAGCAAAATGATCGTATGTATTCACACACTCCTAAAGATGTCCAGGAAGTCATTGGGAGAGTGAAAAGAGGTCAACACCCTTCCTCAGTGATAGATTGGTGGGGGGGGGGAGGTTTATGGCACCACAAAGCCCCGTTTTTTGAAAAGGAGTTAAAATATCCGGACGATATTTTTGAGCATGTTATCAAGCCTCTAAATGATAATTTGTTTGCTGGAAGTCATTGGGTTTATCAGCAGGATTTAGCTCCAGCTCACAAAGGCCAGGTCAATTCAGCAGTGGCTGCAAAAGAACATTGCAGAGTTCATCTCTGCCTCGGACTGGCCCTGATTTCAACCCACTAGATTATCGTCTTTGGTCCGAACTGGAGAGGATGGCTTGCCACAGAGCATACCCTAACTTGGAAATCCTCAAAAAACCTCTGGTCCAATTAGTTGAGCGCTTTCTTCAAGAAGTGCTGCGTGCTGCTATTTATGACTGGCCACGAATATTAAATGCCTCTGTCAAGACAAAAGGGGGACATTACAAGTATTTTTTTTTTTACTCTCTATAGATATACATTTTATTTTCTAATAAAGTTTTTGAAAAAAATAATTACTCTGTTGAAATCTGTATATATTTCCTTGTAACAATACTCGTATTGATGACAGGACTAGGTAAAGACAGATTCTTCCAAAGTTGAAGACAACGAAGGCTGTCCTGTAAACAGTGAACTAGTTCTTGTTTTCTACTTGAACTAGTTCTTAACCTGCCAGAGGAGTGCTATATATTTATCAGAGACACAACGGACCTTATGAATGCTCTTTATTTGATAAACAATTCCACGATAAAAACTATTGGGTCGTTGTAACGGACTCGGCAAGTGTTTAAGAAGCCATTTAAAGCCCATTCTTAAGTAATTCTTTAAGTAGGGGAATAGAAAGATTTAGTGGGAAGAAAAAAGTATACCTCAACATCTGAAATGAAAAAATGGATTAAACAGCTTCGTATGGTTACAAGCGGAGAAGCGACATGGGTGACTAAGTTGAAAAACTGGGTACTCCAAAGAAAAGAGAAATATCAGATTAGGAGGAAGGTTTGAAAAGGAATGAGTGACTATCACAATTATTCATTAGGAAAAGTGAAATCTAAATGCAGCTTTTTGCCAACTTAGGGTTGATCATAGTCAGTGTCAGTTTTTAGCATATTCTTCGACTGTTCCTTCTACAGGAAAAGAAAAAAAACTGGAAATTTTATTATTCTGGAAAAGTCAGGACTTTTGTCAAACTTCTCAAAGTCATAATTTGTTTCTAAACATTTTTGCTAAATAGTAAATTAAATGAAAAAATGTAGTTAATTTAATCTTTTTCCCCTATATAATTAAAACCAGTCCTCACGACTTAAAATTTTCTAAATATGATATTGTTAACTTTTTTGTGTCCCTCACTTGCGGCTTCCTAGATTTCTTGATTGCCGATTCATTCACGTTAGTAATGTTTCAATTTTCACTTTATATCTAAGACGATAAGAGAAAATATCAATTTAGCTAAAAATACCGTTCTACTGTGAAACAAACGTTACGAATCTCTCAAATACACCATATGCTATGAAGGTTTTGACTACTCCAAGCGCCTATCCGTGATTAATAGTATGTTTAAAAAAAAAAAAAAAAATATATATATATATATATATATATATATATATATATATATATATATAATTTTTATTAATAGTTTTAACATAAAAAGAAAGAATTATTAATCAATATTTTGACAAAAGATTTTATTGGTTGACATACTTTTTACTCTTCAATATTTTGGAAAAGTGAAGCAAACATTTTATTTAAGGCAAGGAATAAAATTAGTAAATTAAACAAAAAATCTTGTAGACAACTTTAATAAGCTTTAAAACGAACTATCAAACGTCTTTTTACCACCATCAGCTATAAAACTAAACGGATTTTTGTTATACAAAACATAGTGAAATTCGGAAATTTCCGGTATTTTTAAAACTCTATATAAAAATACTAAAAAAAAAAAAAGAAGATTAGTGATCTGTTTAGTTTTCATAATTACTATTAAAATAAAAGGAAATGAATCAGTTATATAAAGGTTTAAATTCTATTTCATATTGAGTAATTTAATATGTAATGTCCCAAAACTTTTTTTGAAATTTAAATATATATTAATAATTATTAAACTATTTTTCTATTTTCCGTTGTTTTAAAATTCCCATCTAATGGATTTTATTTTTCTTGTTCTGGAGTTACAATACCTAAGTTTTTCACCAATGGTAAAATCTTTATGAATACTATTTTTTTTTTAAATGTTAAGACTCCCATCCAAGCACTACTATCAATAACAATAAGATACTCTTGTCGTTAAAGCAGGCGATCTATTTTGTACAATCCATCTTCCTGGTTCAGATATAGACCGAACTGGACCCGGATTGGGTGTGGCCACCTGTGAATTGTGGAGGTATATAATGCCTCAAGGCAGTCCGAAGGGGCATAGTTAGCTCGCAAGACTCAAGCTACTCTTACAATGGCATTCAAAGCTCTCGTATGTATAAAAAATGATTTATTATTTTAAATTTAAAACTTTACTATCTGGATTAATACTATTTTGATAACTCATCTGAATGATCTATTAATATTATTATTTTGATCTTCATAAATATTTTTTAAAAAGTTAACTATGTTTCTTTATACATTTTAAAAATTTGAATTATAATAAAATCAATATTTAAATGTATTGAATTCAATGAATATGTTCAAACTTTAGAGAATCGAAATTATGTTTGATAGCTTTAAACTTAGCATATATCTCCGAGTTGCATTGTAGGGTTTTCTGAAAAGTTATATGAATTACAAAGCACATGTTTCTGTATTTTTAATCCTCAATGTATTTATTATTTCATTTTATATTCATGATTTGTCTTTAACAAGGGGAAGTACGTCCAATTTGTGGCAACCGAACATGCGTGACAATTAAGTCCATTTTCGCAATATTATGGTTATTTAAAAAAGGGGGAATACGGCCCAAAATGCAAATAAGTTTCACGCTGTGTATGGTTCAGCTGCTCATATCACCGTTCATAAGTGGTTTTGGTATAGACGTTTTGATCTGGAAGATAATACCTGGCCAGCCTCAATTAGTTTATTATTGGATATCGAGAATAACACGGCTGTCGTTGCAAACGATCTACGTATTACTGTCCGTGAGATAACTGTGGAATTAAAGTTTACTAATAGAAAAGGTATAATATTCCAACAAGACGTTGCCTCTTTAAGGATTCGACAGCACTTTCTAAGCTTCGGGTGGTAGATTTTACCTCACCCATCTTGTGCACTAGACATCACTCACTCAGATAACTATATTTTTTGATTCTACACTAAAAAAGAATACATATAAAATAATTATTGTTCTTAGAAGATAAAGAAATCTATGTTTCAAAAAATTGATTATAGATCTTCCGAGCAGTTGAATGTGTAATCACTGATTGCTGTAATTATATTTAATTTATATAAATGAATTAAATTAAAATAATGTTGTAAAATATGTACACACTTGTAAGTTGTAACTTACCTTCTTACTACTGGACTTTCTTATTTTTATCGTTTTAATGACCACTTCGTACGATTTTTAATGTTCATCAACTTCTTTCTCAGTTCTTCCTCGCCTTCTGCTTGGCCGTTGCTTCAGCCGCACTCATCGCCCCCTACGCCCTTGGAGGTGACGATGGATCTTACTGGCCCGGCAAGTACGACCTGAGAGAACTCCATCCAGACCTTCCATCAGTTCCCGGAGCTCTGCCCTATCCTCTTGTCCGTTCCTACTGGCTGTAAGAAGTTATCCACAAGCACCAAAAAGTTACCTGGAAATAGCTGATATTCAGCCTTCTCTTCACTAAAAATAAAATGAAATTCATCTTCTGTGTATATACTCTGTGGTTTTCCATCATATTTTAATAAACAGTCTTTAACTATTATTATCTTTTTTTTTTCTTATAGCTTATTTTTTTACAATTCTTAAGGCAATCAATATTGACATCATTCTATCCTTTACGATACCTGATGCGAATGGTAATCTGTTTCAACCGATGGTAATTATTTATAGTAGTAAAAAAAAAACCGATTTGCAAAAAAAAATTGAATGTTAGTTTGTAATAAAAAAATGTCAATTACACATCATTTATCCCTAAAATAAAGGTAAAGAATATAATAACCCGTTATCATTTTCGTCAATTCAGGCGTCATCAGGACAGAAAATAAAATAAATCCAAAATCAAATCACTCTATGATATCTAAATGCATATTACTTTCACTTACCTATATATGTAATATGCAGTAAGCGTTAGTATTGCGATCGTGAAGTTTTTCGAATCTGATTTTTTAACGGAAATTTTTTAAGGTTTTGAGGTCCCCCGAGTCCAAATAACGAAGTCCCGAAAAACTGTCTGTGTTTGTTTATGTTAGCAATCTAGCTCAAAAATGAAAAGTCGTACGAAACTGATATTACGTATTTAATTTGAGATATGTACATGCCTTAGATGTGACAGCAACTTTTTCCTCAAAATCGACTAATGGGAAGTTCCACTTTATATCTACGTTGAAACACATTTGTACAATTTTCTCAAAAACAGCCCTAACGATTTTGAAAACAACTTAACGTTCTATAATTCTTTTATAAAACGCTTTTCACTTCGATGCACCGTTTAGGATTTGTAGGTGAAAAAACAAAAAAAAATTACTTATTCTGTTGTAAAAAGTTTTCCATAGGTGGCCCATGTTAGCAATTTTGTTTTTTACATGTCTCAACCAATATATACAATTAAAAAAAAATTTCCCACATTTTTCGTAATGATTTTCATGTTTCTATCCTCAAGTTACTGGCCTGATATTGATTAAATTATTCGCCACTATCACAGATAGATCGATTTTTTATCAAACGCTAAAACTAAACATGGCCGAAATCAAATACATTCTTTCTTTTTTTTAATCTAATTAAATAATAACTTTTTTTCATAAGAAAACGTTGTTATTGCTTAAGTATTGTTTTTTTTTTAATTTAATAACTTCCTCGTATTATATTATATACACAGATGTTTAATCAAATACTAATGTTACTGATTTTATTTCAATTTGGAGAGGAATCATAAAATTAACTTTCCGCTGAAACCAAATTGTATACGTACGCTACTAATCACGAGTAGCAATGTAAACATCATGTTACATAGTTTTAATAAAATTAAACTGGTATCTCATAAACAAATCGTATGACAAACATAAATATAACACAAAATTAATGTAATTTATAACATAACAATTTAACGCATTTATTTTTAAGATAAAAAATGAAAATATATTTCATAATCAAATAAGGTGATTTCTTTTTTATTAAACAACTTAAAATTATAATTTATTTACTTAAATACATCAAAGAACAAAGAACAGATTTGTCTCAATACTACAATTAATTTTTTAAAAAAATTAATCAAAACCTTAATATTTCGTTTGTACCCCCGATTGGTATTTCCTTGATTCATTCCAAGAGAAATTTTAATTATTTAGTAATTTTAAGAGATGAGAACTTTTAAAACAAAAAATACTGAGTATTTTTTCAACTGGGTAATGGAGGTTTCTCATCAGGGATAGAAAAAAAATTCTTCCACCAGTGTTCCCTTTATTAGAGAGGAAGGAGTTGAACAGCTCACGATTGTTTTATTCATCATCCACAATAACAGTTTTATAATTACTTTCTATAAGTTAATAGACAAGTTTAATTTAGTAAATATATATATATATATATATATATATATATATATATATATATATATATATATATATATATATATATATATAAATTATATAAGATTTAACCTATAATATTAGTCAACTTACATAGACCTTAAACGGCAGACAAAAACATTATTTACTGTTCTTTAAACACTGTTTCTGTGTAGTAACAGTTTTCTAATGTTGGATGAGGCAAAAGTAACATGTACTGCGTATGATGTGGTTATACAGTAAATTAAAAAAGATGAATCGAATTTTTCTTTACTTTCCAAACTTCTTTACTTCAACACCCATAATAGTTTAGGTTTAAATTATTATTTCAATTCTTCCAATGCCAAAGATTTCATATATCTTATACACTTATCGAACCTCAATTAAGATTTTTAAGGGACATACATATATATTATAATATTATATTATACAAATATAGACACAACATTTTCGCTAATCCAGTGATAAAAGTTATCATTAGAAATCAAATTATTCTATTTATAATATAATGATAAGACTGTTAAATAAAATACGTAATGGGTGTAATTTGTGATATAATATAATATTTCAGGTTGAGACAGGTTTTTCGTTATTTATAGATTTTTTAATACAAATTTACAATTTGTATAATTTTTCACTAAATTTTGAAAGCTACCATCTGGCTCTGCCCTGAAATATATAAATATATTTTTTAAGAAAGAAAGGAAAGTAAATTTTATTGTGCACTACTTATCTCCTAAGAATATGGAAATGTGAAATCCAGTTAAAATGCAGTATATTATTGGAATGCTACCAATGGATAGTTCGGTACAAGTATGTATATGTCATTTTATAATCCTCGTTTAATTGTTGTATTTTTTATTAATACAGTTGTTAATTTCAATAAAATACTTATAAAAAGTATTTAAAGCACCGAAAATGCTGTAACGACTTTAATGGCAATTAGCTGAAGTCTTCTCCTTGAAACCCCTTTAATTTATCCAACATACTTGCTCAAAAAAAGGTTCAAAATAAAGTAACGACAGTTTCAAAATTACATTCGGGAATAACTCAAAAAGTGTACGATTTTGTGTTCATTAAACTAATGAGTATTTGAAAGCTTCCTATTATGAAAAATTTACAGTTGGAATATAGCTATAGAGTATGGGTACAACGTCGAAAGGAAAAAAATTTGCACCGACCGAAGGAACAAAGTAGGTTCATACATTTTTTCAATGAGAAAAAAAATTCAGATTGGTATTTTGCACCTTGAAAAACCCTCAATTACGAATTTTGCCTGCAATTGAAAAATAAAACGTATATTTAGCTACTACAGTAGTACTTTTCAAGTAGTACTACTCAATGTTCTTATATATGGTGTCTTCAAGGAATATATAAGCCCTCATACTTTCAATTTTTTTAATTCTATTTCCGACAACGTTTCGAGCTGATTAGCTCATTATCAAATCATCTACAAATAACAATCAATTAAAGATTATTAACAACTCTGGTTGTTCATTATCTAGTCATAGAAAGAGTGAAAACTTACCAAAAACATTTTGAAATATACTATAATGTATTTCAATATTTAATTTCATGAACAACTATTTGTAGTACACTAATTGTCGCAGATAACTAACTATATTCCCCCTCAGTATCTCACTTTAATCTTTGTGCATTAAATGATTCATGTCCCTAAAATAAAAATGTATGTATGCTATTATTTCAGAAGTTATACGATTTCTATTATTGATTACTATTGTTTTATTTAAACTATATATTAAACCATTGTGAAATAATTTGCATGCTTTTTTTGTTGTGCTCTTATTTCTCTAGATTCCTCTTTAAACATATTAAAGTGGTCCCTAAATTTTTTAAAAATATAACTATATGGTTGGAATACTGAAAAGGAAACCTTTTTTCCTTACTCCTATTCCTTATGTGTGTATTTAGTTATTTTACCACATCGTTAGTTGATTAAATTTTAATATAATATGTTCGCTTTTTCTATTAACTAAGAGCCTTGAGTGTCTTTATAATTGCAGACTGAGTGTTGCAGTCTGAGAATCTTTGGTATAGCGAGTTAGGGGAATTAAATATCTTCAGTGACCACACCCTGGTCCAGTCAAATCCTATACCCCACAACCTGTGATTAGAAAATTGATTAGCTCAAAATTATAGTCTTGATTAGTTCAACTCTATGCCACTTTAACCACTATGCAAATTTTAGGTTATTTTTATTCTTTATTTGTCTTATTTTTAGAAAAATGAGAATGTAGGTTCAATAAATGATACATCAGCACCAAAGAATATTATATATAGACGTGATTTAACAGATTTGTTGTTCTTTATTTCGCGTCTAAGGTATTCTAAAATTACCTTTAATACTAAATTTCAACTTTATATAATTATCAATTATTCATATAATGTAATGTTTGCTTTATACTATAAGATTTTTCGTTTTTTAAATCAGTATATAAACTGAATATAGTAATATAATATAATATATGTATATAATATGACAAATAGTAGGAGCATTTATGCAATCAGTGCTACATGTTGTCAAATTTTTAAAAGTTACGGAAAACCTGATAAACTTATGTAAGAAGTCAAAAATTTTAACTTAAGGCCTAGAGTCTGTTAACTATGGTGTTGATTTCGTAAATGAGCAGAGAATGATGATAACGTTTTCATATTCTGTTTCCTAATTTCGTTTTAATAGTCCATGGTCCCTTTTTATCAAATCATTAACATCCGGCTAAAACTAGTAAATAGCTTCATCTCATCACAACCTTCAACTAATTATATACGAAAATTCTTGGAATTGGGGCGTTTTCAACCTGGAAGTCGGCAAATTTTGGCTATTTAATTAGGTACCCTTTTGCTTTCCACTTGGGTCGTAAGAAAATTTGAGCACGAAATCGAGAAAAAAATATTGTGCCGTTTGACCTACAGCCTCAAAATATCAAAAACGACGTTATAAAGGATAAATAGCACAATATTTCTGTAGGCCAATTTTTTTTTTCTCGATTTTGTGCTCCAATTATTTTACGATCCAAGTTTAAAGCAATCGTGTACTTACGAGTTTTTAATACCTAATTAAGTAGAAAAAGTTTGCCAACCTCCTGATTGAAAACGCCTCAATTCCGATAATTTTTGTAAAAAGAATAGTTGTAGGTTAGGATGAAATGAAGTTAATAATTAACGCTGATGTTAATAATT